GCTGACGGATATGTGACAAAATTTGATGGAACCAATAATTATGATTTATTTCTGTCATAGGGGGTATAAAACTTTATGTCTCCCATTGTAACCAGTGTTCCCTCTAAGCCAAGTCAGTGTGAGCTAGCTCACAGTTTTTTAGCCTCTGGCTCACACATTTTTGTCTCAGCTCAGAAAGGAGAGCTCCAGAGTAAACTAATGTATGCAGCCACCAAATCGCTCACTGACAACTTTAATGCCAGTGGCTCACAAAGCAGAATTTTTGCTCACCAGACTCCACCGCTTAGAGGGAGCATTGATTGTAACCTTAGGGAAGAGCTGTGGGTACTCGAGGGTTCAAAACCTTGTTGTGCCTGTATTTTCCCTCCTTTATTAATAAAGTTTTTAAGCTTGGATTCTCCTCTACAAGACTGCCGAGTGCTTTCTCAAATTGGGCTGGGGAAGCACAACCAGAGACGAGTTTGTGTCTCACACTGCTGGATTACAGTATAGGGAGTGCCCTGCTGGATTACACCATCGTCCTGCATCTTGTTCCACATAATGGTCAGTCTCTTGGTAGTGGTCAAATAACATCACTTACTGTCTCAATTGTGTGGAAATGTTTTTGAAAATATTAATTTCAAAACCATTTGTTTTCCGACAACCGTGATGTTATATACATATAATGGAAAGCCATATATTAACTAAAACAATGAGACCAGGGACCATAGTTTCACTGTTAGACCTTAAGAAGTATTCTGCAGGGAAGGTCCCAAAATATGTATCAAGTTTTTAACATGTTCTAAAATTGACTTAATTTCTTCAGTTTTGTTAAGCAGGTTCTCAGTTACACGGCTAACAAGAATACACCAAATCTCAAGACCCTCTGAAGTATGAACCAACAGCTTCTGGAAAAAAACAATCTAACAAGTGTTTGAGAATCCAGTATCACTTAACATCTCAGCAGTGGGAAGAGAACTATCCTTGCACTGAAGCATATCCCAGATTGTGATTATTATATCAGATGGACTGCTCAAAGGATAAATATACTAGAGAAAGAAAGAGAAAGATTAGGTATTCCTTTTGGAAAATATCAGCAACCTTATTTTTTTGTTGTTGTTGTTCAGTCGCACAGTCAAGTCCGACTCTTCGCGACCCCATGGACAAGATCTCGTCAGGCCCTCCTGTTTTCCACCGTCCTCTGAAGTTTGCTCAATTTCATGTTCGTTGCATCTATGACACTGTCTAACCAGCCTTATTTAGACTTTATGTATTTGATATGCTTCTATTCATTCCCAGGATTTTAAAATATAACTCCCACTATCAAAGAACCTAAGTAAGAGGTCATTATGCCAAGCCAATTTACTGCTGGAAATTAAAGGAAATACACATAAGCAATATACACACAAGCATTCTATATGTTATATTCTGCCTCTTTCACAATGTATATACTTATACAAAGAAAGGCGTATTAAGCCTTCCTGCTCCCATAGATCTTCTGCTGAGGCCATTCTGCTCAATGTCTCCACCTTATATCAGAGGTTAGTTTGGTGGCTACATGAAGCACAGTCTTTACGTGGTATATTTTCATGCGAACTTGTAACTCACTCTGTATTGGGTCAGTTCTAAGAAAGGTGGACCACAAGTCAAGAAAATGCATCATTAAATCAAGAAAACGTGTACAGGTGGGTCTCAAAGATGCTGGAAGACTACTAATTAACATTTTTCAAATCATATAAACTTAAAGCAGGATGTACAGCTGCAATACAGTGAAATCCTATGCAGCATTACTCCAGTCTAAACCCAGTGAACATCCCATGATCCTTTGTGATTGATTAAACTGATGTCTGTATGTGTTACTACTGAGATCGGGTCCCACTATAGCCTTTCGGCTTTGAAAAAGAATTATTCGAAACGCGGCAGCTTGCATCCGGATTACACGTCGTTTATGGCTTATGGACTTCAAGATTATTTGGATCCTCCTGGAACTATATGAGTCCACTCCATGATGAATGCATGTCAAGTTGGACTATGAAATTATAATACAACAGGAGTGAGACACATTGAAATTTTGGGGATTTTACTTCTCTGTACCATTGTGACTTTATTTTTCTGCATTAGTGTTGTTCCTTGTAAGAATACTTAGGCTTCATCCAGTTATACTGATAATTAACTCAGCATTAAATATTATTTTATATAATTATGTATATATTGTTCACTTTAAGTGATTTCAGCCAGCAGTCTCTTGTGTTTTGCACCATTTCTTGTATGCTGGTTCCCCTCCTTTTTTTGGTTCAGACTGCTCTCTTTGGCATAACAATCCCATTCATGGCAACCACTCCAGACTGAGGATACCATGCTGCCTTCTGTGTGTAAAAGTGCTATCAAGTTGCAGATGACTAATGGCGGCTCCAGCAAGGGTCTTTCAAGGCAAGTGAGAAGCAGAGATGGTTTGCTATGGCCTTCCTCTGCAGAGCCTTCCTTGGTGACCTCCCTTCCAAGTACCAACACTGCTTAGCTGAGGAGATCAGGCTATACCATGCCAGCATCCCTCCTGCATGCCACCTTGAGAGAGTGCACTACAGCTTCAAACTGCTCTCAGAGCTGAAAAGGATCGGATTTTCCCAGTAAGCACCTAAAAGCTACCTTTTACATTTAAATTGGCAGGGAGAGTGGAGACAGCGTTTCCCCTTTGATAAAACTCAGTGAGAAAGACATCGTACCCAATTTCTTGCTCTGGTGTGTGATGTTGATGTATTAGACAATCCCTTCCTTCGGGAAGGCCACAAGATATGGAAACCAAAGCCTAAAGTCCCTGTTCCCCCTACTTCCTCTCCAGGATTATTACTACTGTAGCTTGGTGGGAAAATCAGTTATGAAAGTGCTGTTGCTATCACAAGAATGAACAGGGGCCTTGCAGAAACCATTCATCAAGATCTTGGAATAAGATTAAATGCAGGAAAACTGCCCAGTGTTGAGCCTCTAAAATGCAACTATGTTTTCAAGGGAGTGAGCTGAGTCTAGACAATGCAGTGGAGTAAGCCTAGAGTCTAGGCAATGCAGTGATTGGAAGCGGTTAAATGCAAAACCAGGTGATGCTTTAAGAGCACCTTTAAACCTAGCTATTGATATGATGCCAACATTGTCCGACAGAGTGCTCATAACCAACAACTGAATGAAGATACAGGCAAACAGATCAACATATACATTTGCATCTGGCTTGCATAAGTGATCTTGTACATTTCACTGTTTGGGTTCTTCTGCTCAGATTAGTCTTGTGATATTCTACTTTTCACCTGCTGTCCTTGTTCTGTTGGTCCCCAAAGGAACTGGAGGAGGGCAACCATAGCATACCAGGTGAAAAATTACAGGTGAATATACTGAATGGTGATAGAGGGGGGGGGGTAAACATTTCTAGATGCTGTATTAACACACCATTCGTACTGACTGTAGGCGAGAACCCCAGGTAAAAGCCGAACTCCACAGCAAACAGGGGGAAAGCCGAACTCCCAGTCAGTGAAGTGAATTCTGTCACTTGGGCATATGGATCAGCTCCTGGACAAGGCGATAGAGAGGGAGTGATCAGTTTGGTTCTGATGCCTCTGCTCCATGAAGCAATGACGGGTCCAAACAGTCCCGCATCCTGGCCTACAACCAAATGTTCCGGCGAACAAAATGCTAATAGCCCTTTAAAATCAAGATTTCTGCTTATTTGACCCTCTCGTTCAGAAAGCAGCCCAACAGCGCCTACAGAACTAGGAAGGAACTCGGTGCAGAAACCTGTTGCAGGAGCTGCCTCCCAACTTTGATTACTTGATCCTACCAAAACATACAGCAAAAACAGCTCCCTTTGTAATCCCCCCTCTCCCACGTTTCTTCTAGGGTCTCCATTATGGCAATCTCCAAGGAAGACGGAGCCAGGAACTGCAGCTTTCTAACGCCGATCGCTCCCGGCAACCAGCCCCGTTTCTTTGGCAAACCCACGCGCCAAAGGTCTCTTGCTCTCGACACACGAGCGCTTCCTGCTTGCAAGAGGAGGGTGTGTGCGCACGAACAAAGGACCGTTTGGCTACAGTTCCACCGCCTCGACCCTTGATGATGAAGGGCACCCCCTAAAACTCCCTGGTTACAGGATACATATATTTATACATGATAAATAAACGCCCTAAAATACAGGAGGGCAGAATAGCGCAGCGAAATCAAATGCTGAATATTCCTGTGGAAGGCTTGGGGTTTATTCCGAGAGGCAAGGAGGAATTTCTTTCGCAGCTGGCGCAGTGACCTGTCGCCTCATTTTAATAGCTGCCTAGTATAACAGGGAAACGCGGTGTGTGCGGAGATTTTATTAGTATAAACGGCTCCATCGTGTGTTGTAGCGCAAGAAGCGGGCACAGGAACAGTCCACGTCTAATTTCACACGCTACTCGGCAGCAAACCCCGGCCCGGTTCCCCCCCCCCCCCCTGCACCCTTCTAAGGAACCCACATCCATCTTAGCTTTCAGAGTCATTTGTACAGGACAGGTGTTTGGTCAATTCGCATCTTAGGAAGTACTGTGTGAAAAGGCAAGAGATCGCTTCTCAACAGCCCGTGTTAATTAACCTGGAATAATTTCCCACTCTCCCCATACACTGAAGAATCCACGGTTACATTTCAGCACTGCTTCGCCACCTGTTGGACTACAGCACTGAGCTTAAAGAATCTTTCGGTATTTATTCGGTCCTAGCAGTTTTGGGTTTTTAAGCCGAAAGACCGACCAAGTAAGAAATCCGCGTCCAGTGACCGGATGCACACCTCTCCAAGGAACACTCTGAAGCAGCACCAGCTGTCCCAGAACACCAGCTGCAGTGGCCTTAAAGCGTGTGCGCGCCCAGAGGTGGACCGGCTCAGTTACATGCAACCCTGGCCTCCTAAGACCCCCGGGGGACTTCCTTTCGAGCGCACATGGTTCAAAGACCGGGCTGCGAGCGGGCCAGAGGGCGCGGCGGGGCAAGGGCGACCGAGCCGCAGGGGTTTGCCTTACCCGCTGATTGGCGAGGACCTGCCTGTAGCGCTCTTCTTCCGGAGGCAGCTGGTGCAGGGCCAACATCCTCCGGCGGCTTCGCCACTCTCTCCCCCTGGGGCGGCTTGGAGCGAGCGCACGGCCAAGGCTGCGCGCAGTGGCCCCACGGGCGGCTCGGCTGGCAGGCAGGTTCTTTCCGAGTGGGGGTGGCTCGGCATTTTGTCCCCCCCCCAGGAGTCCACACCCAACCCCTCCCCGCACGCAGAATAA